AGGAAACACACCAAAGTGGTAATAATGTCTATAGTCTAGTGCAGGAGTTACAGGTTACTTGGTTTTCCAGAAGCAGCAAGTTCAGGCTTATCCTCCCACCCAGGAACCTTGGTGGAATTTAGTTTCTTCTTTAATGTGTCCTCCAAACTTTTTGCTCTGCCCATAATTAGAGGGGAAAAAAAAGAAAAGCATTTTAAAAGTCAGTTATTAAGAATTCCCTGGAGGTTGAATGGTTAGGACTTGGCACTTTCACTGAGGTGGCCTGCGTTCAACCCCTGGTCAGGAAGCTAGGATCCTACAAGCTGCATGGTGCAGCCAAAAAAATTATTAACTAAAAAAATGAAAAGGAATAAAACAAGTAAAAAGTAAGTTGTTAATATAAACATGGGTCTCAAAATTATTCCTGTATTTTTCAGGTTTAATCATTTTTATGATTTTAAAAATATATTAAATTATCATGAGCCATATCAATGACCCATCTGTAGACTGTAAGCTTCATGAGGGCTATTCCTGTTTTATTCATTGATGCATTCCAAATACCTAGAGCAATCCTGGTGCTGAGTAGGCAGTTAATAAATATTTGTTGAATGAGCACTTGAATATTCTGGTTCTGACAGAAGAAATATGGAAATTAATACATCAGGCTTCTATATCAAGGATGTGCTCGAACCAGCCTCCATGAATCAGGATAAACGGTGCATCTTTAACCACGAATTGGTAAAGAAAACTTCATACTCATAGTCTAAAAATTCTTGGGCTCCCCTCTCAAAGGAGATTCCATTCTTCCAACATAACAGGATCTAATAGAAAAGTCCTGCTACCACATCATCAGTAATGTGACACCTTATTTACTGATACTTTAAAAAACTATTATGCACGTTTGCCATACAAGGCAAGATGGTACCAAAAGAAATAGACTGCAGACTTGGGTGGTTGCAATTCTAAATTATGATCTTGAATTATGAAAACCTCCATGGGTGGGGAAAGCACAAAGTCTCTACACTGACAAGACTGAAATCTCAAAGTTACAAGCAGATTTAGGCAGATGTTGATTTCACTGCTGCCCAAAAACTCTACCAGAGAATCAGACAGTCTGTATTATCATGATAAAAGAAAGCAGTTATAGTTGGCAGCAGGTGGGAGTACTTTAATACTGAGATGCTTTTGTCAGGTATTTAAGTTACCAAAAGGTATTTTTTTCATTGTGACAAATTCCCTTTCACATTTGGCAACTGAATTTTTAACAAAATGCCTCTCACGCCAACAAAGGGCATTTGAGAGAATGGAAGCTATTGAGTTTCCACTTTCCAAATGAGTTGCCTCTTGACTTAATTATTCTCCCTGTGATTTTGAAGATATCCCTACAAACCACAAAGCATTGTCATTGACACGCAGCCTGCACTCAGCGAACGGTTATGGGATTGACTCAAAAATGTGTGACAACTGAAGCAAATCACAAAGAAAATTGAACTGCTGAAGTACGCTGGAAATCAGGACCACATTTTGGAAACAATAAGAACTGGAAAAGGGTAAAAACAAGGTGCTAATTCAGTAATTAAATTGAAAGAAGAGTCAATAGATCCTCATTTTCAACTTCTGTTCCTCGAAGTCCAACCACTGGGACAGACTTTTCCACCTATAGAAAAGAATCTCGGCCCTCACAACTGGGCCCGTTTCACACATTAAGAAACTGAGGCCAACTGCAGCAAGGTGGGCACGTCTAAATGGGGACCAATCTGAAGTCTCCCCAGGTCTCCATCTCCCTCACTAGGCTGCCTGTCTTCATTATCTCACAGGGTGGAAATTTACAGACACTCCAACCCTTCAGCCCTTCTACTTACTCTTACTTTTTCAACCTCTCCCTTTTTTAATCAAGTTCAAAGAAATAAATAAGCAGAGAGGAGACGAGGCTAGTTAGAGACCACAGGCAGGCTTCCTTTCCCATCTCCCACCTGCCATACAAAACTGTGCCCTTGAACTGTCCTGAGGTTTCTGTCCCTGCAAGAGGAGCCTTAGCCACCTCCCCAGCCTGTCCCCAAGCACATCCCCCAAGTGTCTTACATGGTCCTGGTTCCCATCCACAAAACTGGTCAGACTCCTCACCCCCGTGTCCCCTACCTCCTCACTGACCACCTTCAGCTCCTTGCCGCACAAGGGGAAGTGGAAAAGCCCCAAGTGTCATGAAGATGACTCACCTAAAGTCAGCAGCCCCTTAAAGGACTGCAGACCTGCCTCCCTGAAACCCAGATAGACCCTGGGAACCACTTAACAGAAACTCTCTTGGGAAGACAGGTGGGAGATTCAGCTGGCTCGAAGGAGTGGCCTGGAGAAAGGAAGGGGAGAAAATGCCAACAATACCCAGAGGCTGAACATTCAAGCTCCGTGATCTACTTGCCAGACTCTGGCTCATCGTCCAGCCTTCCGGCAGTTCACTGTCTAGGTACACCAACCCACAAGTGAACAAATGATCACTGAACAGCGTTCATAGACAGAGGGAAGTTTAGGAGATGGGGGGAGGCCAGCATGGGGCAGTTAGTCCAGTTCACAATTTCCTAGAGGAGATAACATCAACACTAGTCTCTTTCTTGAGATGAGTGATAGAAACATGTGAGCAAAAATGATAAGTTTTGGCTTTTTTAAAAAAACAACATTGATGTAATTTTCACTGTAAACATACTCATTTTCATCCTACTTCACTTGTGTTAATGCAGTAAAACATCACAGTGAACAGCACAAGTTCCAAACCTGACCCGCCAAGGTCAAATCCTGGTGCTTCTCTTACTAGCTGTCTGCCTTAGGCTGTGCCTCAGTTTCCTGCCATGACAGCTGTGAGGACTAAATGACTTAACACTTGAAAGGTGCTTAGAGCTGTGTTTAGCACATAGTAACCATGCAACAAATATCAGCTTCTGCTATCGTGTCATTACTTTGTTTTCACACCTTATGCACTGCAGTGCCCTTTTTGCCCAGTAACCTGTGAAGGGTAGGAAGTCATAGGTAAAGAGATACAGAAGAAAACAGATTGTCCTCACAACTAATCAGCACAGTTCCAGCACCGGAACTTCTGATGGTCCATGTTATTTCCAGCACTTCACAACACTTTATAAAGTTGTTTTAAAACCCTGAATTCTGATGCATGAAACAGGGCACTCAAAACCGATGCACTGGGACAACCCAGAGGGATGGGATGGGGAGGGAGGTGGGAAGGGGGTCTGGGATGGGGGGACTCCTGTGACTGATTCATGTTAATGTATGGCAAAAACCACCACAATATTGTAAAGTAATTAGGCACCAATTAAAATAAATAAATAAACTTTTTTAAATAAATAAAAAGAATCCCCCCCCAAAAAAAACACAAAAAATAAATAAAACCCTGAATTCTTAATGCAACATTGTAAATCAATGATATTTCAACAAATTTTTTTAAAAGACTAAACTCTTGGGTGAAAGTTCCTTTCAAAGTCTTAATTTTAATCCCACTACTAGGCATATACCCTGAGGAAACCAAAATCAAAAAAGACACATGTACCCCAATGTTCATTGCAGCACTATTTATATAGCTAGAACATGGAAGCAAGCTAGATGTCATTGACAGATGAATGGATAATGAAGCTGTGGTACATATATATAGTGGAGTATTACTCAGCCATAAAAAGGAATGCATTTGAGTCAGTTCTAATGAGGCGGATGAACCTAGAGCCTATTATACAGAGTGAAGTAAGTCAGAAAGAAAAAAACAAATACCGTATATTAACGCATATATATGGCATCTAGAAACATGGTACTGATGAACCTATTTGCAGGGCAGCAATGGAGACACAGACATAGAGAACAGACTTATGGACATGGTGGGTGGTGGGAGTATACCGGAAGGAGAGGGTGGGGTCTATTTAGAAAGTAACATGGAAACATATAATTACCATACATAAAGTAAATAACCAATAGGGTTTTCTGTGTGACTCAGGGAACTCAAACCAGGGCTCTGTAACAGCCTAGAGGGGTGGGATGGGGAGGGAGCTTCAAGAGGGAGGGTACATAGGGATACCTGTAGCTGATTCATGTTGATGTTTGGCAGAAACCAATACAATATTGTACAGCAATTATCCTTCAACTAAAAATAAACAAAAGAACAATTTAAAGCCTTCATTTTCACATAAACGAGGTGAATGGCCCTAGAAGACAATGGAACTGTCAACATTCAACAGATTGGAGGACTTTACCCCTAGGGTTAATTTGGGAATACTTAAAATCCAAAAGAATGTCTTTCTGAGTGTGATTAAAAATCCCTCCAAAGTCTCGTGGGGTTTCTATGTCCAACATACTCCAAACTGCCACAACCCACAGTACAAGAAACCTCACTTCAGAAAACACAGGCCCTCCCTACCGGGCGCTGCCAGCACAACTGTGCTTACCGCCAGCAGAACTGGAGGGCGCCTGTGCACTGGTGGGACCCCTAGCACCTGCTGGGGTGACACTGCCCCCGACACCCCGCTGGTCTCTTCTCACCAGGAGGAAAGCACACCCCACTTGTCTGGCAGAAGTGACCAGGGCGAAGGGCATTGAGCACAGAAGCAGGAGTGAAGGCTAGAAATCATGAAGGGACTAGCCATGAGGACATTAAAATGGACCACATCTGCTTGGATACTTTCCCACTGAGAGAGACAGCATGGCGTCCTACATCGTGGCCTTCTGGTGGCCAAGATATCTGCAGGAAACGCTGCACCACTTTGGTAAACAATCAGGAAACTCCCAAGAGACTGGTGGCTGGTTCAGTGCAAACGCCTCAGGTCTAAGGTCCAGAAGAGCTGGATTGAAACCCTAGCTTCTCCATGGCTGAAAAAAGCATTAGTGCTCTGAGTCCCGATTTTTTTCCTCATTTCACTGAAACTGATAGTACTGGTCACTTCTGTGTTCCCTTAAACTGTTGCAAGATCAGAGGAAAGGAGAGCCATTTGGAGGATTTTGCACCCAGTCAGTTGCACACAGCGAGTGGGGCTTACCTTGCTCTCCTGCATCTTCAAGTTTCTCCACAGTTTCCCCGGGGCTGTGCTGCTCTTCTTCCACCGCTCCTGTCTCTACCAGCAAAGAAAAGAAACATTCCCAGTCAGGCACCTGAAGGTAAGCAGAGGAACCCATCCTTGGGGATGTCTCTGGGGGTGTCCAAGGCAAATGACTAGTTCCTCTGCCTCCGCTTTTGACTTGGGCTCTTCCTGCACTCCCACGGCCAGCTCCCTCCTGGCTGACCTGGGACCCTCCTCTGCACCCTAAACAACTGGTGCTTTGTTACAGACCCTTTTTATCTTCTCACTCTCCAGGTGACATCGTCTGCCCCCTTGGGTGCTGTTGACTCCTGTCTCTCCAGCCAGCGCACGAAGGGACTGAGCCATCTGAGCAACGGGCAAACCAACCCGGGAAAGGAACCAGTTGGCAAAGCAAGAGGAGCTTCCTCCAGACCCTCGCAATGATCCCCGCAAATCATTCTGCAGAAGGCAAATACTCCTGCATCTGGAGAGCGTTGGTCCAGAGCGGGCAGGAACGGAAACACAGGACAAACTTCACTATAGAATGTTACTTATATGTGCCACAATTCGGTGAGTAGTTATGACGACCCCCATTTTTCAAATGGAAAAATGAACTCCAAGAGGTTGAATAATATGCTCATGGAGCTCATAAGAGGCAAAGTCAGGATTTGAACACGGGTCTTCAGTGGGGGTCTAGCATACTTTGCTCCTTCCCACAGCCACCCCACTGGGTATGACGGCCACAAAGTAAGTCCCTTCTAAAGTGAAAATGGTCCTACAGAAACTTTTCTTAAGCTGGTGTTTAATTGCATGTATTTTATGATTACAAAGTATCTTCTCTGTTTTGTATAGTTTTTATACTTCCTGAGCATAGATAAATAAATTATACCTCTTATTATTCCAAAATCCATATGAACAGAGTGGGTAAAATATCATCCAGAACACCATGGCCTTGGACACAGAGCAAAGTTTCCTTGTCCACAAGTCATACAACTTGTTATTTTAAGTCAATTCAATAACTGATAATTTTCCAAACAGTTAATCTTCAACCTGCTAATTGGCAGATTATTGACAGACCCTCATCTGTAGTGGCACTCTGTAAAATTCACAAATTCGGGATTTCATTGAGACTACCCAAAGTATTGTAGATTTTGAGAATGACAGTTGCTGGGATATTGTGAACTTCAAGTATCATGTATGTCACAAATATCTATTTTGTAAGAATAGAATGGGGTTTTGTTGTCCAATGCATTTTCAGACCAGTCTGCTACTTCTTTCTAATCCTCTTTGTTAATGGGTTTGCTTTCTTCATGGAAGAGAAGAAAAATGTGAAGTTGAAAGCAGTATGCAAGTACTGTTCTAGAAATATTGTCACACTTGTACATGCCTGCCTTCCAAGGTCATGCACACACACAAATACATACATCCAGAGTCAGTAGACAATATACATTCACACAGGAGATGTTTCATCCAAATATTAATTTTCACATATCTTTGTCAATTTAAATATGTTTAAGGAGAATCCTACCATACCTATAACAATTTCTGGGAGAAAGAAACTTTGAGTACAGAAGCATTTCCTAAGCACCAACTAAGCCACCAGCGCTCTGCCTCATACCGTCACCCCAGAGCTCCATCACTGACACCCACATCGCCATCCAGGTGGGTGCCATAATCCCCATTTACAGAAGAGAAAAGTGAGGCTCAAAATAAAAGGTGTGCCACAGGTCCTAGATCACTCACTTTGCAAAGTGAGATTCCTCATTCAAACCAGACCTGTCTTGCCTGGAGGTTATAAATTTTGGAACGGGGGGAAGACAAGAAATAAATTTCAAACAGTCCTGATTCTTCGTCTACAGCAATCCTCATCTTCCTGCTCTGATCTGCTCCTATCAGCTGAAGAGCAATTGTTCAGTAACAAAAGAACAAAACCTCAAAGAGAATTATGCCAACCTTCATCACTGTGCAGGCCCTTAAAAAGGCAAATTAATACCCTTCCCTTCTTTGGGGAAGCTGCTTTTCTTTTAGCAAAATCACGGGGCAGAACTGTGCTTTATTAGCTTGGCTTTCATTTGCCAGAAGACAACACAGGTGAGTTCCAAAAGGAAAAATAATTCACAAAAGACAAAGTGACAATGGATGTGAGAACAGGAAGAATCAAGGGGTCGCCATCTCTCAGTCATTGTATCAATAATACTACTGATGCTATGGAAATGTCACCATATCATGTTAATTTCTCCAGAGCACATAAATGAATGTCCCAGAGCTACAGACCATTCCTGACTTCCTGCTTTCTCTTCAAGTACATCGTTCAATAATTAAAATCTATTATATTCCTAAAGCAAACCACTTAATAACACCTCAGCAGACATCAGGGAAGAGAGAAATGGAATTTTGATAGTAGGTCTCCTACTAAATTGAAATGAAATCAGCTTAATGCTAATTATTTTTCACATTCAGTTTCTATTTTTACCAAATGGCCTAACTTTTGAAGTGCCAGCTGAATTAACCATTAACTTTCCCGAGCTATCAACACTCAGCTAACCCTTCAAGCCCTATTTCACCCCCCATCAGTTGTTCCAATCCCCTTACTCCAGCCCAATCACTCCCTTCTCTACTTCTATGTGTACTTTTGCTCATATAATTAGCATTTTATATATATTTAATGCATTAAGTGTGTATCATACATGTGCCAGGCAATGGATAGGAACTGAAAACAAAATGATTACTAATAATAGCTGAATTCACTGAATGCATACTAAGAGCAGATATTGTTCTAAGTGCTTTGTGTATATGAATTTATTTAGACCTTGTAAATATGACCAATTCTACAGATGAAGCAAACTGATTCACTTAATAACTTACTCAGGATGACTCAGATTGTAAGTGATGGAACCAGAATTTAGACCCAGACAGCCTGGCTCTACAGCTCTGGAAATTAATCACTACAACTGCCTCTCATTCACATTCCAGGGCCTCAGAATCAAATGAAAGACCCACATGGAATCAGAAGATGACACAGAAGTGTCATATGATTGAATATATCAAGGAAGGGGGACCAGTAAGACTGGGAGAGTCTATGAGGAATGTGTCAGGAAGGGCCAGAGGGTGGTGATATTCCAGGCATTTTTAACAGTTTAGTAACTGACACTACACCTAGATCTAAATCTCTCCCAGGGCTGAGTACGGTTGTGTGCCATGCTAAAGTTGTTTCAGCCGTGTCCGACTCTCTGTGACCCCTAGAATGTAGCCCGCCAGGCTCCTCTGTCCATGGCGTTCTCCAAGCAAGAATACTAGAGTGGGTAGCCATGTCCTCCTCCAGGAGATCCTCCCAACCTGGGATTGAACCCATGTCTCTTACGTCTCCTGCACTGACAGGCAAGTTCTTTACCACTAGCACCACCTGGAAAGCCCACAGTTGTGTGATATCCTAAAAAATAATTTTGCCTGGGCACATAAGGAGTGGTAAACCAGTCCACCAGGGCAGAAATGGCCACAGTGGAAAGGGCAATGGGGAGCGCTGATTTGTATTTGCAGGTTTCCTTTGCCAGTTTCTATGGGGTGAATACTCCCACCATAACAGATTTCAAGCTACCAACCAGACATCACTGAACTCGTTTGGGATGAGATGGGTTCTTTGGATGTCACGTGCCGATTTGCGCTGGCACCAGCACACCACACTGTGAAGTTCCTCTAGTGAGTACCAGAAGCTGAGGGAGCCAAGAGTTCAGTGGGTACAGAAATACCAACCCTGATGGACACAGGCTGAGGGCACTCAGGAGGGCGGGAACACCTGCTCGATCTCTAGCAGGCTGCACCGCCAGAATGGTACATAAGTGTTAAGGCCCCCACAGTAAACCGAGGGGAACGGGGATGTAAACCACAGAAACAAGGCAAGGAGCCCAGAGGAAAACAGTAGCACCAGAAGAGAGACTCAAGGTGAACACCAAGCCCAGTCAGAAGAGGAAACACCTGAGTTCAGGTAGGCACAGCCTTCAGGCAACATCCAACCAGGTCTTGAAGTCAAAGTACAAAATCCAGAATGCCTTCTCTGCCAGCTCCCCTTCTAACACATCTAAGTTCCTCCCAGGGCCTCCTTGAGGCTCTCAGAGGAGGACCCCGCGTTAACCTCCACTGCAAGGCTTTCCACAGCACACTGTAATTATCCATGTAGATGCCTCCCACTAGGCTGGGAGCCCCTGCAGGCAAATAGCATATGATGTTGGCAAATCAGTAGGCCAAATCTGGCCCACCACCTGCTTTTATAGGGTAGAGAAGCCAAAAATGGTCTTCGCATCTTTAAATGGTTGGGAGAAAAAAATCAAAAGAAAAATAATATTTTATAATACATGTAAATTATGTGAAATGCCCATTTCAGTATCCATAAACAAAGTTTTATTGTAACACAGCCATGTCCTTCATTAACGTATTTCACACTACCATATGGTCCATAAAACCTAAAATGCTTACTCTCTGGTCCTTCACAGAAAAGTTTGCCAACTCTCAGCACGTAGCATGCCCTGAGAAAGGAAACATTGAATCAATGCTTGATTAATGATTATCTGACCCTAGATGCATCCCCAGCCATTTTTTAATCTCATAACTATCCAGATTTTCCTGGTTGGAGGACCCTGCTCACCCAGCAACCAGCATTGTTTTCCAGCTCCCCCAAGCACTCTGCTACTAGTGAGAACCCAAATGAATCTTCCCAGATTGGTTGCTTCCAATCTGTCTGTATAAGGATTTCCAAATCTGTATTTGGAAATTATTCCAAATATATATCTGTATATATATATATATATTCCACAACTAAATTAGCTTAATAAATGTTGAGCTACAAACCGGTGCTGTGACAACCTAGAAGGGTGGGATGGGGTGGGAGGGAGGTTCAAGAGGGAGGAGACATGTATATATACCTGTGGCTGATTCATATTGATGTAGGGCAGAAACCAGTGTAACATAGTAAAGCAGTTATCCTCCCAAGTGGCATTAGTGGTAAAGAATCCACCTGTCAATACAGGAGACACGAGGCATGGGTTTGATCCCTGGGTTGGGACGATCTCCTGGAGAAGGAAACGGCAACACACTCCAGTATTCTTGGGATGAAAAATACCATGGACAGAGAAGCCTGGCAGGCTACATACAGTTCAGAAGGTCGCAAAGAGTCGGACACAATTAAGCACACATACTCCCAAAAATAAATATAAAAATAAATAAATGTTGAGCTAAACATGCTTCTTCAGCACAGAATTCCACACAGCCTTTAAGATACTCATGTTCCCTGTGAAACTCCAAGCAATATTTCCCAAACATTTGCCCTTTGAAATCTTTTTGTTGTCAACTGTTACTCAGATTCCACTCTGGGAATCCGATTCTAAAGGAAGTAGAGATCTGAAAAATATATGGTCATCAAGGCCACATGGAGAGCTCATTGTTTTTTATGGTATATCCCTAGAAATGGACACACTTCTGTTTTTAATATTTATCTATTTATTTACTGCTGCACTGGATCTTAGTCGCAGCATACAGGATCTCTGATATTCAATATGTTGCAGCATGTGGGATCTTCAGTTGCAGCATGCAACTCTTAGTTGTGGCATGTGGGATCTAGTTCCCTGACCAGGGATCCAACCTGAGCCCCCTGCATTGGCAGCATAGAGTCTTAGCCGCTCCACCACCAGGAAAGTCCTGCGAACTCACTGTCACAACCCAAGTTATTTGGCTTAGCCATGACCACCACTCCCTGTCCTTGGCTGTGGGTAGCATAAACCACCTGGAGCCACAGCCCACATCACCCTGGAGAGAGCAGTCGCTGCTCCGCCGCCCAAAGATCCTGCCACCGCTGTCACCTTCAGTGTTAACTCTCTCCACTCCTGCAGGGCTTTGCTGAAATGTCACCTTCTCGGCAAGTCAGTTCATTTCAGTCGCTCAGTTGTGTCCAACTCTTT